TTCCAGCTCCAACATCTTAGCAATGCTTTGGCCCTGGAACAGAGCACGCTCTCCCTGCCTCACTGTGAAGTAGCCCATGGAGAGAGGACCTACCCTGCCATAGTCTAACCAGTGGCTCTCAGCCCTGGCTGCACTTTGGAACCACCTGGAAGCTTTAAAAAACCAAAACCAAAAAACCAAAAAACCCAATACCTGGGTCTCAGGCCCCAAGACTGTGATTGGTCTGGGGGTGGCCTGGGTGTTGGGATCTCCATCTGCAGCCAAAGTTGAGAACGTGCACCATAAATAAACCTGGCGCCTCCAGCTCATGAGAAATGAGCAAAGGGCTATAGTGATTTCTAAGCACCCTGGCTCCCAGGTGCCCCGTGTGGCTGGCGACACGCAATCCCCTGAGAGGAAGAGGAGGTCAGCTGCTGGTTGGAAACCCAGCTCGTCCTCATGACCCAGGGAACAGCTCCCGTGGGTTGAGTCTGTGCGGCCCTGCTCAGTGCTTCTCACGCACGAGCTTCTTTGGGCCCCACCACTGTAGACGGAGTGTTTCCGTTCCCATTTCACAGAAGAGGAACTCTGAGTTGCAGGGTGGTGGGAAGGGGCAGAGTCCACGGCCCCTCTCTCTCTGAACCAGGGCTAAAACCCCCGCCAGTTTCTCCTGCAACACCATCATCTTCCCCTCAAACACTAGGGCAGCCGGACAATAAAGAGCTGCTAAAAGCATTTCTAGGACAACATTTTTTTAAAAACACAGTTGAGGCGTGGGTTAAATGGGTGACGGGCATTAAGGAGGGCACTTGTTGGGATGAGCACTGGGTGTCTCACTGGGACGAATCATTGGGTTCTACTCCTGAGGCCAAGACTACACTGTATGTTAACTAACTTGAAAATTAAAACAAAACAAAAAAAACCCACAACTGAGGTGCCTGGGTGGCTCAGTCAGTTAAGTGTCCGACTTCAACTGAAGTCATGATCTCATGGTTTGTGGGTTCGAACCCCACATTGGGCTCCGTGCTGACAGTGCGGAGCCTGCTTGGGATTCTCCCTCTCTTCCCCTCCCCCCCCTTCTCTCTCAAAATAAACAAACTCAAGAAAGAAAAACAAACCCACACAATTAACTGCACAAGGATAAATTACTAAAAGGAACTTGTTCTCTGAATCAAGAGAGGCTCAGGTGCTACAAGTGATCCTGGCCCAATCTTCTCCAGCTCCAGCCCTTGTACTGGCCTCTGTGGCATGACAAAAAGGCTCCTGCGTCCCCCCTCTCAGGGGTCATTTCCCCCCCCCCCCAACAACTGTTGCCATTGCCCTCAGCATGTCTCCTTGGTTCCTCATCTCTATCCTGTGCTTCTGTGCCTTCGACCCTCACCCCACCCCACCAGCTCCCTGGTTTCATTCAGACTCCCCTGGACACTCCCCACCCCCACTTTACCTGCTGTCATTCACCCCGACGAACAGACCTTTATTCTAGATCTATTTCTTTCAGCATCTTTCAGCAACATGAGCAAAAGGAAGTAAATTCAGGATACTCCTAATACAACAGACTTATCATCCACCTAAGGTCTCTTTTACAATTGTAATCAAAGACCACACACAATCTCATATGTTATTTTTCCCACTAGATTTTTGGTTCCCCAACCCCCCCCCCTTTTTTTTTTTTAAAGAGACTGAGCGAGTGTGTGCAGGGCAGAGAAAGAGACAAAAGAGAATCTTAAGAAGGTACCACACCCAGCTAAAGCCTGACGCGGGGCTAGATCCCACAACTGTAAGATCGTGCGTGACCTGAGTTGAAATCAAGAGCCAGTGGCTTAACGGACTGAGCCACCCGGGCGCCGCAGATATATGTTTTAATGGCCAAGAAACTTCACCAAGAAGTTAATGCTCTCACTATTGCATTTACTGACTGTTCATTTTTAGCACTTTTATCGCCAATTCAAAGGCCACATTTCCTCATATTTTGACACTCTTGAAATCTGAATGTCTCACAACTGACCAGTGTTAACATTATGCAACATAAGGTCACAGTAAATGACAGTATTATGTTCTTTGTGATATATAAAATAATGGCGCATCTATAATCAATGGTACCTCATGTGACAAGAAATACGGTGCTGTCAGTCAGTTTTCTTTTCATGGGTTATCTCCTTTTAAGTGAGATGCCCATGTTTGATTAGGAACATTTTCATGATGCTCAACACACGCTATCGAATTTTGTCCAGAACAACATGGGCTGCTTCTATAACCAGCATTGAGCATTTCCACATGCTCTTTTGGTTTGCCTGATTTAATACGTTCCAAGCTCAGGGTGGCTTGGAAGCTGGTCACACAGCCCACAAGGGACAGATGTAGCACTGGAACCCAGGCTGTCCGGCCCTGAGCTGGGGCTGACCCGCTGGAGCCACGGAGCAACCCAAGGCCGGCTTGCACAGGGGGGAAACTAGCGCCTCCCAGACCAGAAGGTAATCTCCAGAACTAGGGTTCTCCATGGTCAAAGAGCAGATTCCTCAGCCGGGCATACAGGGACCTTCACCTTCACCATCACCTCACCCCTCAACTCCCCTCTGCTCTGTAGAACTTTACATGAGCCTGCCTCCAGGCCTTTCTCCATGCTGTTCCCTCTGCTGGAAATGCCCTTCTCTTGGATCCCGTAAGTTCAAATCCCAAGGCCCAGCTCAAAGGTTGCCTTTTCTGTAGAACCCTCCACGACCCTCCAAAGGAAAGGGGTCTTCCTCCTCTGAACATGAGCCCCACGTTCCGTGTCATCCTCCCCAGATTCTGGGCACCGAACTCGTAAATCCCTCCCAACTGCTCGCTTCTCTCCAGTGCCAGCGCCTCGCTCCCTGCTCCCCTGCAGGAGGGCTCCCACCTTGCTTGCCCCCCATGTGCTTTCTGGCATTTCCACCCATCTCCACAGGACACCAGAGAGGGCTTTTCAAAGTCCAGGCCTGATCAGGGGCTGCCCTGCCCACCAGTGGCCTGCCCACTGTTCCTAGCACCACCACCAGAACCTTCAGTGTCCCCTGGGCCCTGCCTGGCCTTGTCTCTTCAGATTGAGCACGTCCTGGCCCCCACCACGCTGCCCTACCCTGGCCATCCGCCTTCTGTCCGTGGCATAGGTCGCTTCCTCTGCCAAGACTCACAGTCTTCATCCTCTACCTGGCTTCCTCCTCAGGCCCCACAGGTGTCAGGTCGGGGAGCCCTCTGATCTGAAGGTCTGAAGGTCTCAGTGGCCCTTGTGAGGGGCCCACACTAACCATGGCTTCTCCTTTACTGCGCACCCCATGTGCACCTTCACACATTCAGTGTTGTGACTTGAGACCGGTCTCGCAGCTAGAGAGGAAGTCACCAGCAGGCAGAGACCAATGCCTTCAGTTTGGTAGCTATGGCCTGAGAGCTGTAGTTGGTTCCAGGACATGGCTGGTGTTGATATAAACATTTGTGGCTGAATGAATGAATGAATGAATGAGGGAAGGAATCCTCCCCAGAGAGCCGGTGCTGCCCCTGTGCTCCCCACTCCCGGCTCCCTTCCTGCCAGGGGTGAGCTCTTCCTTGGTCTCTTCCTTCTGGAGACCTGTCTTTGGGCTAGACTGTGTCTGAAAAGCAGACAGGGCACAATCACTAGTCAGTAATCAGGACATGGAAGCCAGACAGCGTGGGTTTGAACCCCTTGCCAGCTGTGTGACCTTGAGCAAATTGCTAAACCTTGCTGGGCTTCAATTTCCCTACCTGGAAGATAAGGGAAAGAACAGTACTTAGCGCACAGGGCTGTTGTGAGCATTAAATAATCAAATACACAGAAAGCCCTTAGCACATGCCTGGCACAGCAGTGAGTGCTCCAGAGACATTGCTTGAGTTATTATTACAACTTCTGCACCTTAGTTCATTAATTCAAAGACAAACATGTCCCCAGATTTCAACATTTCTGAAATCAGAGTTGGTGGCATCCACTGGCCATTTACCCCACCACACTGTTAACAGACCTAAAATCCAAAGGACTCTTACAGTTAAAGGGGTCATCAATTTGATGACATACAGGATGCTCATCATTATCATCCCATGGCCCTGCTTCTTGGACCCCGCCCTCCTCACCCTGCTGCCACCCTGAGCTTCTAACGCTGCCCTGATGGCTCTACCTGGCCAGAACCTCCTAGTGAACAGGTGAAACGGAAGCCAATGTTTCCCTTCTGCCTTGTCCTCACTATTCACAACTGATGTCCCCTCAAACCCAACAAACCTGCATCCAGATATCAAGAACAGGGTTTAATGGCTCTGCTTGGGATGGTCTCATGCAACAGGAAGCAAAGCATTCTCTCTGGAGAGAGGCCAGGGTAAAATCCTACTTCGGCCACTTCCTACCTGTGTGATCTTGTGCAAGTGTCTTTATCTGTAAGATGGTAAAATGGGCAGTAGGGAAAAGCCCCGTATGGGCTCAGTATCAGCCTAGCATTCTGAGACCACTGTCTCTTCAACTCCTCCCAACCTTCAGGAACAAGGGTAATTTTAGCTCCCTTTTCCAGATAAGGACACAGAGACTCAGGGAGGTGAAAGTCTTGGCCTATGACACATGGTTATTAAAATGCAGAGGTGAGGGGTGTCTGGGTGGCTCAGTCGGTTAAGCGTCTGACTTCAGATCAGGTCACGATCTCACAGTTCGTGAGTTTGAGCCCCGTGTCGGGCTCTGTGCCAACAGTGTGCATCCTGCTTGAGATCCTTCTCTCTTCCTCTCTCTCTCTGCCCCTCCCCTGCTTGCACACATGCGCTCTCTCAAAAATAAAGAAACATTAAAAAAAAATGCAGAGGTGGTGTTTGAATGGTCTGATTCAGGTTATTAGGCCATCTTGAGGTTTGTGACTTCCTGCTACAGTTTTCACCTTTGTGACGAAACACTTTGGTAAGGCAGAAACACCCCAAACAGGTGTTTTCCTTTTATCTTGTTTGTAACACCAAGCAGAACTGTCTTCAATGCCAGGAAGTCCTTTAATGCTGCTGGTCTGCCAGAATTAATTTACCTTTTCATCCCAGGTGGCCATTTTCCTGTCCTCTCTGGATCTGGAAAGTAAGAAAACATTTGTCTGGATCTGACATTCTGCTCTCCTTTATCTTAGTATGTGCTTTGCAACACTTTGTTACAAATTATTTTTAACTTGCTTACCTTAACAGCCTCTGAAAATAGCATAAAGCTCAAAGTGTATGTGGAAGGATGCACATCCTTGGCATATACCCAAAGGAATTGAAAACAGGCACTCAAACAAATACATGTACACAAACAGTCACTGCCAAAAGGTAGAAATAACTCAAGTATCCATTAAGGGATGAACGGATATATCAAAGATGTCATATCCATACAATGGAATGTTATCCAGTCATAAAAAGAAATCAAGTACTGATCCATGCTACAACATGAGTGATTTATACTAAGTCAAATAAACCACACACAAAACATCACACATTACATGATTCCACTGATCTGTAATACCCAGAACACGCAAATCCACAGAGACAGAAAGATTGGTGGCTGCTGGGGAGTAGGGTGATGGGAGGCAGAGGGTGACTGTTTAGGGTGCAGGGTTTCTTTTTGATTTGATGAAAATGTTCTGGAACTGGATAGAGGTGACGGTTGCATGATATTGGGAATGCACTAAATGTCATGGGATCGTTTGCTAAATGTTCACCAAATCGTAAAATGGTTAATTTCATGTTATGTGACTTTCACTTCAGTTTACACTTAAAAAAAAAAAAAAAAAAAAAAAAAACAGACATACACTCCAGTGCTGGGAATGCCTTGGAAAGCAACAAAGTATCTATATGTCCACCAATGAGGTTCTGGGGGCGCCTGGGTGGCGCAGTCGGTTAAGCGTCCGACTTCAGCCAGGTCACGATCTCGCGGTCCGTGAGTTTGAGCCCCGCGTCAGGCTCTGGGCTGATGGCTTGGAGCCTGTTTCCTATTCTGTGTCTCCCTCTCTCTCTGCCCCTCCCCCGTTCATGCTCTGTCCCTCTCTGTCCCAAAAATAAATAAAAAAACCAAAACAAAACAAAAAAAAAAGGTTGAAAACGAAAAAAAAAGAAAAATAAATAAAAATTCATATTACAGCATAGTGTATACAGTATGACTCCATCTACATGAAAAATTACATATGCATTTTTATTTTATTATTACTTATTCGAGAGAGAGAGAGCAAATGCAGGGGAGGAGCAGAGAGAGAGAGGGAGACAAAATCCCAAGCAGGTTCTGTGCTGCCAGCGCAGAGCCCAACGCAGGGCTTGATCCCATGAACCATGAGATCATGGCCTGAGCTGAAATCAAGAGTCAGACACTTAACTGCCTGAGCCACCCAGGTGCCCCTACGCATGCATTTTAAAAAATACATCTGCAAGAATACAGCCAAACTCTTTACAGTGGTTATTGCTGGACAAAAAGGGAGTGTGGGTATTTCCTTCTACTGACTTCTAGAAGGTCTGAACTTTTACAGTGAGTTTGTGTTACTTCTTAAAATTTATTTCTGGGCATCTGGGTGGCTCAGGCTGTTAAGCTGACTTTTTGGCTCAGGTCATGATCTCACGGTTTGTTGAGTTCGAGCCCTATAGTGCTTACAGCACAGAGCCTAGAGCTGGAGCCTGCTTTGGATTTGGGGTCTCCTCCTCTCTGCGCTCCTCTCCCCCCCCCCCACTCACGTGCACTCTCTCTCTCAAAATTAAACAAACATTAAAAAATTTTATTTTTAGTGTAGGTGACATATGCATATACTAAAGGGAAATAGGAACGCCAGGACAGCTCAGTCGGTTGAGCATCCAACTCTTGATTTCTTGGGATTCTCTCTCTCTCCCTCTCCCTTGCTTGCCCTCTCAAAATAAACTTTAAAAAGCGAAAGAACACAAAAAAATATGACAAAAAAACCTCCTTTCTACCCATTCTCCCCAGAAGCAGCCACTTGGGGAGAGCGCAAGTAGGGGAGGGGCAGAGAGGGGGACAGAAGATCTGAAGCAGGTTCTGTGCTCACAGACTGAGCTGAAGTCAGACACTCAACTGACTAAACCATCCAGATGCCCCAGAAGCAGCCACTCTTACCAGTCTCTTTGTGGCCTTCAGTGGTGTTCTAGGCCTTCAGCAACACACCCGTATTTACTCTTTTTTTTAAAACTTAAACAAATGTGAGCCCACGCATACTGCGTGAATCTCGCTTGTTTCCGTTTAGGGTGTGGCAGGCTCAGTGATGACCCACCCCCAAAGATATACATGTCCTAATCCCCAGAACCTGTGAATATGTCACTTTACATGGCAAAAGGGACTTTGCAGATATGGTTACATTAAGGATCCCAAGACGGGGATTATCCATATTCAGGTGGGTCCGATGTAATCAGAAGGGTCTTTATGAATAGAGTAGAGCAGGAGAATCAGACACAGAAGGACAGGTGAGTACAGACCCAGAAGTTGGAGCCAGAGATTTGAGGATGTTATGCAACTGGCTTTGAAGATAGAGGGAAGGGATTGCAATCCAAGGAATGCAGACAGCCTCTAAAAGTTGCAAAGAAACAGATCCTCCTTTAGAGCCTCCAAAAGGAATGCGGCCCCGCCAAGGCCTTGATTTGGACCCAATGGATTGATTTTGTACGTCTGATGCCCTCAGCACTGCAAGGTAATAAATTTATGTTGTTTGAAGGCTCAAATGTGTGGTGACTTGTTACAGCAGCCACAGGAAAATAATACACTGTTTCAGATTGTCCTAGATCGATGTGTGCTAAATCAAGTGCACTCCTTGGAATGACAGCCCAAGACTTCCCTGTAGGAATGTATGTAGTCCCACTAGTGATCAGTGTTGAGATTATTTCCCCATCTTTTCCTGCCCCAATGTTCCAATAACACTGCACACTGTGTGATTTTATAATTGGGGGAAAAAATGATCATTCTGAAAAAAAAATGTTCACATAGACTTAGAAAAAAAAGTTCTTCTCCTTAGTACCATGCTGGGGGCATAAGGGACTCTTAGAGAATTTCTTCTTGGTTGACTGACAGAACAGCTTCTGTAACCAGCAGAGTTCAGCTCAGTGTGTTCCTGTTCTAGCCCCTTGGGTCCCTCGACCTGCTCTCAGGAGATGGGCTGAAATGGAACCATTAGCACAAGCAAAGGTGAAGGGGGCAGTTAAGGCGCCCGGAGATTTCCTTCCTTCACAAGACAGGAAATAGAACCAGCACATATATAAAAAAAAAAAAAAAAACAAAACCCCAGGTTCACTAATTCAAGCAACAGAAAATTTCAACCTACTACCAACTGCCCATTAAAACAGACAAAAGTTGGGGCGCCTGGGTGGCGCAGTCGGTTAAGCGTCCGACTTCAGCCAGGTCACGATCTCGCGGTCCGTGAGTTCGAGCCCCGCGTCGGGCTCTGGGCTGATGGCTCAGAGCCTGGAGCCTGTTTCCGATTCTGTGTCTCCCTCTCTCTCTGCCCCTCGCCCGTTCATGCTCTGTCTCTCTCTGTCCCCCCAAAAATAAATAAACGTTGAAAAAAAATTAAAAAAAAAAACAGACAAAAGTGATAAAACTCAATGCTTGTGGGGCTGTAGGGAAACTTGCACATATTGCCAGGCATAGTTTTTCCTCAACAGCCATCTGGTGATAAGTGGCAAGTGCCTTCAAAATAATCATACTCTTGACTTGAACACAACAGTTTGGGAACTATTATCTCAAAGAAATAATTTGATAGCAAAAAACATGTACAGTGTGGACAAGCTAAGCTGGATATGATGCCTAGAAGCTGGAAAGACCCCACAAGCCCTGCTTTTGAGAAAAGCCGAGAAAGGCTATGGGCTGACAGAAGCAATGACAACTCTGGGGTGTCATGTCGAAATACAGAAAGAATTCTGTTAAGTAATGAGAAGAAGAACCCTGAATGGTTGCACACACTTGCTTGCAATTGTACAATATAATTGGAACATTCACTATGTGCCAAGCGCTGTGCTGAGTTCCGGGGAATCCAAAGCCAAGAAGATAAAGGCCATGGCCCTGACAGACTGATACTTCAGCTGGACGGACAGACAAGGAACCAGGGAAACACATAAGCAAGGTAACACCACCCAAGACTAAGCATGCGAAGAAGGAAAAACAGTAATGCAAGAAGGGACCAGGCCAGCGTGGCTCCTGCAGGTGGAATAGTGGGGGAAGACTTGAGTAGGAGACTTGCATAGTGGTCCCTGAATTGCAGAGAGGTTAAGTCACAAGAAGATGGCTGGAAGACCATGTGCACTGGCCCTCAGAGGGCAAAACAAAAACAAAAACAAAAAAAAACCCACAGAAAAACACAAAAAACCTTCAGCAAGTCCAACGAAGAAAGAGGAGGTCAGTGTGGCTGCAGTAAGGGGGTGGTGGCAGGAGACAAGGGTCTGATCTCATAGAGGGCGTGGTAAACAACTCTGAACATTTGGGGGTCAAGAGTGGTGGCAGGGAGGCCAAGAGGAGGCAAACGATACGGGGATGCAGAGCAATGGCCGGATACAGAACATGCCGAGAAGTAGAACCTGCTGCCGGCTTACATGCTGGAGAGGAGATGAAGACCAGGTTTTGGGGCAAGAACACTCTGGACTTCCTCCTTCACTCTAAACCAGGGATGGGGAGGGCTTGGGGGCTGCAGAGCAACTCTGGAATTGTGCGAGCCTCAGCCCAAAGATTTTCAAAACCCTGCCCCTACTTCCCCCCAGGTACTCGGAGGGTGAGAAGTTACCACTGCCAGCTTTCGTCTTATCAGAAGCTTCCAGCCGATGTTGGGCCTTTCCAGAAACACTGCAGGTCTCAGGTGGCCCTGACTGACCTTAGGTTTAAGGTGACCAGGACAGAGGAGTGCTTTCAGAGGGGCGGGTGAGGCTGGAGGGGGACACAGCTCGGTAGCAACCTTGGGCCAGAGGCTGGGCTAAGCTTTTATACCAACCATCTCACTTAACTCTCAGCACTCCTGTGAGGGAAGTACCATGCTCAACCCCACGGAACGGTCGAGGGAATGAGGCATGGAGAGGTGGAGTCCCATGCCTAAGCCTGCAGGAGCCCCTGCACTCAGCAGAGGCGCGGGGCTGGGGTGTAAAGGTCTCTGAGTTCCTGCAGGGGGCTGGCTGTACCTCCATGTCCTGGAGTTTAACCTGTCCCCAGCCTACCCTTCTAGTTCCTCAGCACACCCTGCCCCAAGAGGTGTTTCCAGTATTTCCAGGTGAAGGATTTGCTGCCCTGGAGGTTCCCTCATTTCAGCCTCCCCCCGGGGTCCCCAGTACTACGTTTACCACTCCTCTCTCTGCAGTCTCCCTGGCGGGGCAGCGAGAGGCAAGGACGAGGAATAAAAGGATTTAGGGGTTCACACGGACCTGGGTGTGAGTTCTGGCTCTGCCTCCTTTGGCAGGGTGGCTTGGCCCGAGTGTCGGTTTCTTCACCTGTGAGAGGGAGACAAGGAGGGTACTTACCTCACCTGTTGCTGCGCTCAGCGTGTGATGAATGAAGGCACCTGTCCCCACGTTAAGCACGCCGTGCAAAAGGGCAGTTCTTATCAAGGCTCCCGTTTTTCAAGGGGAGGTAACTGAGGCCAAGAGGGACTTCCCTCCCATGTCGCGTGGCATACTGTCTCCTGCCCCCCCCCCCCCCCCCACCTGACTCTAGTACCCTCTGGACAAGGGCTGGGGGAGGGGTCCCCCGGGGAATGACCGTCCGCCCTGGTAAACGCTAGAACAGAGGGCAACTGGGGGCGGGGTCCCAGGCAGGCTGGCGGGGGAGCGGCGACGGGGATGAGGGTCCGCTCCTCGGAGGGCGCCGGCTGGGAGGGCTCGGAATGGGGGCCGCGCGCCCCCCCGTCCCAGCGCCGGAGCACTTACCCTGCGCCCCTCCCGCCCGCGGCCACCGCAGCGACTGCGAGCTCTGCGCCCGCCGGGCCGCCCCGCCCGCCCCTTCCGACCCACCCTCCTCGCGACCCGCCCGCCCTCTCACCCTTTCGCGTCTCGGTCCCTGGCTCCCGCCTGTGTCTCAGTCCCCTTGCCCTGGCCTGCCTGTCTCCCCTGTGGTCTCCGGCTTGTCCCCCACCCGGCCGCCTCCCGCCCCGCAGCCCCGAGCCTGGCCTGGGCCTCTCGCGGTCCCGCGGATGGACAAAGGTCCGCCCGTGGGAGCCAATCGCGAATCACGAGAATCCTGTCCCAGGCGAGCCTGAGGGAAGGGGTGGGAGGAGGGAACCACTTCCTTCCTCCTGCGGGATGGCGTGGGGGCGGAAACGCTCCCCTCCCCACCGCACACGCTCGGGGAAGCTGGGCCTGACTTCTGGCAGCACCCCTGTCCTCATTACTTGGGGGTGGCTCCGAGCGGCTTTGAGGGTCCCCTGCATTGCATCTGCCACGTAGGGGTTGGAGAGAGGGCAGAATGCCCTCAGGGGATGGCCAACCTTGAGGTGGTCCGGACACCCGGGGGGGGGGGGGGGGGGGCTGTGTCTGGCAGTGGCGAGGGGTCCTTGCCGGGGGCTGGTATTGGCAAGGAGGAGGGCGCCTTCCTGCCAGGAGGCTGAGCCCCCTGGCCAGGCTGACTCCTACTCACCTTCCCGCGCAGCTCCAACGTCCCTCCCCGCCCAGGGCTTCCCCAGCACTCTGCACGCACTTCATTCTGGCACTGCTCTGGAATGGGTTTCTGTTAGTTTCCGTCTTCCAAAAAAGACCACTTGCCCCAAACGCCTCTGGGCAGAGGCTCTCTCCCACGCACCTCCCTGCTTCTGGTTTAATTGGGGGTGGGAGGAGTCTCAATCCTGGGAGTTCTGGGAGTTTCCCATTGCAGCTGTAACAGGTTACCACAAACCCAGTGGCTTAAAACAACACGAATCTGTTATCTTAACAGCTGTGGAGGTCAGTGGCCCAAATGGTCTTAATAGGGCTACAATCAAGGTGTTGGGAGGGCTGTGTTTCTTTTGGAGGCTCTAGTGGGGAACTCATTCCTTGCCTTTTCCAGGTGGTGGCTTCACTTTGACCTGTGTTTTCATCATCCCATCTCCTCTAGATCTGACCTTTCTCCTTCCCTCCTAAAAAAGACCCTCTTGATTACATGTGGCCCATCCTCAACACCCTTGACTTAATCACACTCTTTCAACAGGTACTGTATCCACAGGTCTTGGGGCTTAAAATGGGGACATCTGGGGGGGGGGGGGCTGTAATCCTCAGGGGCATGGTTTCCATTGGCTTCCACTGAGTCTGCTCTTCCCAATCCTGCCCCCAACCTCTTGCTGGGTAGTAAGTAGGCTTTCTTAAAAACATCTCAGTCTGATCTGACTTCTCAGTCACATTTTTGTTGTTACAACATTCCTATTCTGGTCCCTAAGCCATAGTCTGGTCCATTTTAAACTTCAACCTTCTTCTTTCTTTTTTTTTTTTAAGTTTTTAAAAATTTTCTTTATTTTTTGAGAGACACAGAGATAGAGACAGCGCGCGCGCGCGAGAGAGAGAGAGAATGAGTGGAAAAGGGGCAGAGAGAGAGGGAGACCCAGAATCCAAAGCAGGCTCCAGGCTCCTGTCAGCACAGAGCCCAACACGGGGCTCAAACTCACAGTGAGATCATGACCTGAACCGAAGTCGGACACCTAACCGACTGAGCCACCCAAGCGCCCCTCAACCTTCTATTCTATTAAAAATGCCCCTCCCCTACCAGTGCCAGCTGGACAGAATGGAAAGGATGTGTGCACTAAACTGGTCTGTGCATTCACTCCCTCAGGGTCTGGGAAGGGAAGAGGTGGAGAGAACAGGTATCAGGTATCTCTCCACCTTACTGCCCACCTGGAAGCTGCAATCCTCTTTCCATAGGCTTTAACAATTGGTCCTGCCTATAGTTACAAGCAAAGTGCAGACAGGTGGTGGCCTCAACAGGCCCTAGGAAGCCAAGGCTCAAACCTCACCCCAGCCTTGATCTTCTGGCTGACCCCTGCTGGAGACATCTCTCATTATCCCTCCATCCCTCCCGTGTGCTGCCTCCTGGCCCAGCTCTGCAGGGGGCCTGGGGAAGCCCGCAGCTGCCAGCCTTACCTAGGCTCCGGAGACTGGGACCACCAGCAGGGACTTATTTCCATACCTTTTAAGAATCAGGATCCTGAGACAGCAGGTCGGCAAGTCTGGAGAATTTAGTAATGTTCTCAAGATTTCTGTCCACAGAAATGCCTCTATTACTCAATCTTCTCAGTTGGACAGGAAAAGATGTCAATTTTGTTACATCTTCATCCCCAGCTCAGAGTTTGGCACATAGTAGGTGCTCTACATTTCTGCTGCATAAATTAATAAGTGAATACTGAGCATAGTAAGATAAGGGTGCCCACCATCAGTGCTTCTATTCAACATTGTACCGGGACCCCAGCTAATGCAGCGAGACAAGAGAGGAGACGAGAAGGACAAAGATTGAAAACCTCTGGTCTGCAATCTATGTGATTGTCTACCTAGAAAATCCAAGAGACTCAACAGAGTGGTGTTGGATGCCCACCGTGTGGCAGGCAGGCCCTTTCTAGACACTTAATATAAGATGAAGGAACAGCTTTGTCCTCAGAGAGCTCCCATTTGAGTTGGGGAGGCAAGAGTGGGGCACATTCCTCTATGCTCCAAAGGGTCTAAGAGGCTAGTATTCTAGGATGGGAAAAAATTACTTTATTTTCAATAACCTCTAACTGAAATTGAGCAATTTCCTTCCATTATGAATATAGGTAACAGATCACACTTGTATTAGCAGTACCCACGATTTTGTCATCCATCGAGATCACAGATGTCTCCAAATCACAAGATAGTTAGACACCTTAAAATATAACTTACCCTTCACCACTACTGCAAAATTACTGAAGTAACTAAACCAGCTGTTAGTTCTCATAGTTTATTGTGTTAGCAAATAACTTCATATATTCATCACATTTAAAAAAATAATTCAATAGCTGCATTTCAAGACAATGGGTCTTTTGTAATGGAATGTATTCTATACTATGCATTTAAAGACATTACCCTGAGGGGAGGACTCATGGCACAAAAAAGGACCAGGAACTCCAGCTTTAGAGGAAGGACTTGGCTTGGGCAACGCTAACACAGTTCTCTTGCACAAGGGAGTCCCTGCCCCACCTTCACATTTCATACCAAGCAGTAAGCCCAGCTTGCTCAAGTATGTGTCTGTCAGTCTCAAGAGCTTTCTGGGTGTCTGCCTTTTGATGTTCATGGGGCATTCTGAGGAAGGTCCAAACACAGCCCCTGGGTCTGGGTCTGCTTGTGCCCTGGGCTGGCTGGCACTGGGCCGAGGCATTGGCCAGTTCCGGCTTTACCCAGTGGGAAGAGAGAGGGTTGGCTCGGCCGGTTTTGGTTCCTCCAGGCCAGTGTCTTCAGCTGCTGCAGTTGACCACTTCCCTTCCTAGGGCAAAACCCAGGTCCCGATTCCAGGAGAACGTGAGAAAACAGAAAGGAGGAGAGAAAGGTCCATGAGACCTCGGCAGGGGCCCTGTTTGGATTTCCCAGAGCTACGTCTGCGTCTGGGTCCAGAGGCTGTCTTGCCAGCAGATAGGATTCATCTATAGCAGTGACAGCCACACAAGTCTTGCATTCCTAGACACGATAATGTAGCTACATTACCAGGTCAGGGCTAGGGACCCCTGGGTGCCTCAGTCAGGTAAGTGTCCGACTCCTGATTTTGGCTCAGGTCATGATCTCGGGGTTCATGAAACAGCCCTGTGTTGGGCTCTGGGCTAACAGCATGGAGCCTGCTTGGGATTTTCTCTCTGTCTCTCTCTCTCTCTCCCCTTCTCCCCTGCTTGTGCTCTCTCTCTCTCAAAAAAATGTTGTTTTAAAAGGTCATAGCTAACTCTGATCCCCTTCTCTGATACTTGGTTCAAGCTTCTGCATCATACATAGTTGAGAATCATGTGGAGGAGTAGAAAGAGCATAGAAGTTGGCGTCAAAGAGACCTGGGTTTAAGTCCTGCCTCCATCCTTTCCCTTGATAGCCAGGTGATCTTTCATTAATTAAGGAAATAAGCCTCTGAGGGCCAACCACGTGCCAGGCACTGAGAACAGAGATGAACAGGACGGACGGACAGGTCCCACCTCCTCTCATGGAACTCACTCTCCATAGGGATGCACACAAAGGCCCAATGGTGGTTATGAAAGAAATGGCCAGGCGGTTATGGCAGACAATTAGAGTGGTGGGGATAGAGATGAGGTCCCACCAAGGTAGGGTGGTTGGGGAAGGCCTCTCTGTGGCATTGAAATTAATACTGAAAACTGAGGTGGAGCCAATCGTGAAGGGAGGGGAAAGCCTTCCTAGCAGTAGGAACAGTATGTGCAAAGAGCCTGAGGTGGGAAAGAGCTTGGCCTGGTGAGAAACCGAAAGGAGGCCAGAATTATCCAAACATGGTAGGAGGGAAAGAGAGTAGGCCAGAGAGGGGAGCAGAGGCCAATAGGAAGTGCTGGATTCATGTAAAGTGCAAGAAGCCATGGGAATTTTAAGCAGGGGAGGGACATAGTTTGATTTTTTTTTAAATTATTGTCAAATAACACATAACAAAAACTTTACCACTTTAACCATTACAGAGTATACAATCAGGGGCATTTGCTCCATTCACAATGTTGTTCAACCTTTAGCACTGCTCAGTTCCAGAACTTTTCCATTATCTTTTAAAAAAAATTTTTTTTAATTAATTATTTATTTATTTATTATTTTTTATTTTATTTTTTTTAATTTTTGAGACAGAGAGAGACAGAGCATGAACAGGGGAGGGTCAGAGAGAGGGAGACACAGAATCTGAAACAGGATCCAGGCTCTGAACTGTCAGCACAGAGCCCAACACGGGGCTTGAACTCACCGACCGTGAGATCATGACCTGAGCCGAAGTTGGCCGCTTAACCTACTGAGCCACCCAGGCGCCCCTAAAAAAATTTTTTTAACGTTTATTCATTTTTGAGACAGAGAGAGACACAGCATGAATGGGGGAAGGTCAGAGAGACAGGGAGACACAGAATCTGAAACAGGCTCCAGGCTCTGAGCTGTCAGCACACAGCCCGACGTGGGGCTCGAACTCACGGACCGCGAGATCATGACCTGAGCCAAAGTCGGACGCCTAACTGACTGAGCCACCCAGGCGCCCCTCCATTATCCTAAAAGGGAACCCTGTACCCATTAAGTGGTTGGTCTCCATTCGCAACTCCTCTCCAGCCCAAAGCACCCACTGACTTGCTTTCCATCCCTATAGATTTGCCTATTTTGGACATTTTTATACATGGAATCATACAACATGTAGCCTTTCATGACTGGCTTATTTCACTCAGCATGTTTTTGAGGCTCCTTCATGTTCAAGTATGTATCAGTATCTGGTTCCCGTTGTGGCTGAACATCCATTGTGTGGCTGCAGCCATATATATTTTCATTCTTTCACCCATTGATAGAGTTTGCTTTCACTGCAGTTAACTCTGGTTGCTGGGTACGGAGTAGATCTTAGGGAAGGCAGGAGTGGGAGTGCAGGCCAGAGAATGGTTTGGACTAGTATGCTGGGAGTGGGAAAGGAAAAGCAGGTGTGGACTCGGGAGGTAGAGCAGATACAAGAGAAGTGTGTGGACTGGACGTGGAGGGGGAGGAAGACACGTCAGAGTACCCTGTGGTGCCATCCCCGAGATGGAAAACCCTGAGAAGGGAGATCCCAGCTGTTTGTGATAATGTTTGGTTTGAATTGTCAAAGTGGAGGCGTCATGTGGGCAGTAGGATTTG